TCTACTGAAACTCATTTTGATTAACTGAACGTAGAACACCACACAAAAGCACAAGGTTTGAGGATCAAAAATTAAAAAAAAAGTAACACAGCTAAACCTCAAATGGGGATATGTAAGAAAAAACTCAGAAGACAGTAAGTTAAAAAGTGCAAACAGATTATGGTGCCTAAGCAGGTGCATGTCATAACTGCAAGAGGTCATTTATTTAGACACAGAAATGACACAATCCCATCTTCATATACATGTACTGGAATTCCAATTGGCACTTCAGATTGATTCATAATTTTACATGATTTACAAACCCATCAACATTTTGAACATTTTCATCCATTATGCATTTATGCATCAATTAAAATTGATTCACTGAAATAGAAATGTTGGCCCCAAAAGGCCTAGGCTACAGCTACATCATCAATCCTGCATCATCACTGCATGGCACTGAATTTAAATTCCCCCCAAAAATCACAAACAATTTGCATGAATGGGAGGTAAGGACTAAAAAAAATATTGCATTGCCGTAACCCGACCTACCCTAAAAAATATCGCTGACCCTATAATTTTTTGGCTTTCATTTTTGTGTGTTTATGTGTACTAAAAGTGACTGCATTGCAACAGATTGGAGATATATATATTTTTTTTAAAATGTTGCGACCGACCTATTCTATTTGTCAGTGACCTATTAGGCCTACACCAACCCAACAATTTTTCAGGCCTAATTTTCCACAAAATCCATTGATAATTCCGAATGCTAAAACAAATAAAAGTTACGTGAGTTACTCACCTTTAGTCTGTTCACCTAGGGGTCGTGTAAAAGTGGTAGTTTTTTCCTATGATAAGCAAACAGGGATGCAATTTTGCTGTCTGGAAACATCGTCTTTACTATGTCTGTGAAATCATCTGACGACGCAAAAGGCAGATTGTGCCAAACTACGTAATCTGTCCAAAGGGTCTCGGCTCTGATGGTACCTTAATCTTCAGAAGACATGAATTTTCTGATGCTGTGGGTCGCATTCTTCGTTTAAGCGATGTCACAGCATTTACTGCTTTCGATGTGGTGAGACACATCATAACCCCACTGCAGTGAGTGTAATGGTCACCTCTCTGGGAAGGTAATATGAAATCAAATTTCTCTGTATATTCCCTTTTGAAAGATTGCTTCCGTTTTGGGGTGTCTTTTTTAGATGTTGAAGCCATCTTCATTCACGCAGTTTTACGATTACGTCGGGAAATTTTTGGAA